GGGGGGGGGGTGGGCCCGGCCCATGCGGGCCCGAGCGCTCACCGGGCGCCACCGCCTCCGCGCAACAAGGGAGGAGGGGGAAAGGCTAGGGGAGGAGGAAGAAGCGCTCGAAACTCTCCTCACCTGCTGTGCGTGGGCCGCTCCGGGGGAAAATGCCAAGCCCCCGTGCCCTCCTTCTCCTCGTGGGGGAGAGGGCGCTCTCGCTTCCGCCTCAGGACGGGAGGAGCTGGCCCGGCGGCGCGTCTCGCTGCTGGGGAGACCCGCGTCGCTGCTACTCCTCCACCCAGGTACTGTCCGACGTGCTCAGCCCTGCCACAACCGCCCCATAGCCTCCGGCCAGGGACTCCCGGGGGAACAGCGAGCCCAACCGTCGCTTCCAGAGGCTGTATCGCAAGCCCAGGCCGAGAGGAGAGGGAGGAGCCGGGATGGTCGCCTTTCCACACGCACCAGGAGGCGGGCGACGAGGCGTTGGGTCCCCCTCAGTGCAGCCCCAGTTCATCATCCCGACCCAACATGGCGGCCGCCGGAGACCCGAGGAGGGGAGAGGGAGACGAGGGGGTGGCGGCAGCAGCAGCAGCTGTTGCTGAGAAACAACTCCAGCTCTCCCGACGCGGTGAAGGCAGCTCCTACTCTTGTAGCTTCAGTTCGGTGGATCTAGCCAACGACCAACAGCGCCCCCTTCCTCTGGGAGCCGTGGATCCTGACCTCCCGCTGCGGGGGGTGGGTGGCGATCAGGTCCGGCAGGCTGAGAGGGAAAATTGGAATTACTTAAAAAGGAGCGTGGAAAAGGAGCAGGCGACTCCGGAGGAACCGGGATTCCGGGAAGCTTCTAGCGCAAGTTTTCTTCCCAGTAGCAGCAGTAGTGTTTAATGTTAAACTTTTCAGATGCAAAATGCTGCCTGGGTTAATCCTCGCAAGCAGCTTCGCCGTATGTGGTAAATCCATATTTGCACCGGTTGGGGGTGGGGGACAGACTATTGAGGAAATACATACCATAGAAGCATATTAATAATAAGACCAGCAGCTCACTATTGCCAAGTGCAACACATTTCTTACATGGAAATGTGATTGAAATGGAAGGTATAAATAGTATGACTCTTAGTTTCATAAGATTAGTAATTTAGAAATAGTATTAAAAACCTAAGGATGGGGAACTGTAATAGTATATTAAAATAACTGTGTGATTAGTCTGTGTATTTTATGCAAGTTTTAGGGAAATAATTGGTTCATTATTTTTCACTGTGTAAGTAAATGTGAAAAGATTCACTTTAGCACCACAATTACCACTCTGTTGCCTTCATGTTTAAGACTTTTGAAACAAGCTGCTAGACTGATGAGACATGTTCAGTTCAAATGACAATAATCTTTAGCACTGTTTTTAGAAGAGTAAGTTGGCAGGTTTATGTTGAAGTTTTTACTGAGATACAGTGGTGCTTAAAAGTTTGCGAACCCTTTTGAATTTTCAATATTTCTGCATAAATATGACCTAAAATGTGTTCTGTTCTCCACATAAGTCCTAAAACTACATAAAGAAAATGCAATTGAATGAGTCAAAACATTATACTTTCTCATTTATTCATTGAGAAAAATGAACCAAAGCTACGTATTTGGGGCAAAAGTATGTGAACATCTAGGATTATTAGTTCATTTGGAGGGGAAATTAGAATCAGGCGTTTCAATCAATGGGATGATAATCAGGTGTGAGTGTGGGAGGTCCTGCCTTATTTAAAGAACAAAATTCTGGGTTAGGGTTCACTATCAAAGATTAAACCTCACAACGCAGGTATGTGGAAGTGTGCCATGGCTCAAACAAAGGAGATTTCTGAGGACCTCCGGAAAGCAGTTGTTGAAATTCACCAGGCTGGAAGAGGTTACAAAACTATTTCCAAAGAGTTTGGGATCCACCAGTCCACCATCAGGCAGTTCGTGTACAAATGGAAGCAATTCAACATCATTGTTACCCTCCCCACGAGTGGTCAACCAACAAAGATCACACCAAGAGCAAGGCATGTAATACTCTGGGAGGTCCCAAAGAACCCCAGGGTAACATCTAAGGAACTAAAGGTCTCTCTTGCATTGGCAAATGTCAGTGTTCATGAGACCACCATCAGGAGAACACTGAACAACAATGGTGTGTATGGCACGGTTGCAAGGAGAAAGCAATTGTTCTCCAAAAAGAACATTGCCCCTGCCCATCTACAGTTCACAAAAGACTATGTGAATAAGCCAGAAGTCTATTGGAAAAATGTTCTGGGGATGGATGAGACCAAAACAGAAAGGCAAACACTGCATTCCAGTATAAGAACCTTATCCCATCTGTGAAATGCATCATGGTTTGGGCCTGTTTTGCTGCCTCTGAACCAGGACAGCTTGTCATCATTGATGGAACTATGGATTTTGAACTGTATCAGCAAATTTTACAGGAAAATGTCGAGGTATCTGTCCATGAACTAAAGCTCAAGAGAAAGTGGGTCAGGAAGGAAGATGATCCAAACACAAAAATTGTAAGACCAAAGAATGGTTAAAGCAGAAGAAAGTTAATGTTTTGGAAGGCCAAGTCAAAGTCCTGACCTTAATCCTGTAGAAATGTCTTGGGAGGACCTGAAGCAGGCAGTGCATGCAAGGAAGTCCATCAACATCCCTGAGTTGAGGCTGCTCTGTAAGGACAGCTAAAATTCCTTCAAGCCAATGTGCAGGACTAATTAACAACTATCAGAAATGTTTAGTTGCAGTTATTGCTGCCCAAGGGGGTACACCAGTTACTTTTTTTAATAGTTTATTAAAGATTACAATTATAACAGTAAAAACTAATACAAACTAAAAAAAAAGAGAGGAAAAAATAAAAATAAAAAAATAGAAGGGGCAGGAAAAAAGAGAAAAAGTAGAAAGAAATAGAAAGGAAGAAAAAATAAAATATAGTAAAGAAAAAGGAAATATATAAAGAAGTGATTTCCCCCTTCATCACAAGTATAAACAGTTTTAATAACTTACCACCTTTTCTTAAAATACAAGAAATTATCTCTTCTTCTCATATCCCATCTCTAAATGGGATATGAATGGGAATCCCATCCATAAAGCCTTGTCATTTCAGTCCCGATGTCAGCAAAAGTCCATTAAGGTTGACCAGAGAAAGTATCTATTTTAACCTTGATCAAGTAAACCAACTTTATGTTCCTTTCTTCTACTTCTAACAATCTTGATCTTTTGTCCTTTCAAATAATGTTGTAGAACTTGATTTCTCATCATTTTTTTATTTATCCCTTCTCACAAAATTCTTCAAAATTTTAACGAGCCTCTTTTGTAAATCCAATATAGAAAAATTATCCAGGTCACTCTCTTTATTTGTTATCTGTATGTACCTTTTAATTATTGAGACATCAGCTGATTTGTTTTCTATATCCAATGTAAAATCATTTTCTATGTCATTCTTGTAGCCTGTCATTTTTAAATCCACTTTCAAATCAATCTCAATCTTGTCAGGTAAAACTTGTTCCTCTCCCATAATATCTTTTAAACACAGTCTATCTATAGAGGTGGAT